GACTGTTGCTACCTCTTCTGACTTTGTTGATCAATTTAGGAACCCTAATCATAACCTGGAAAGTAGAACACGGTCTAAATTTCAGTTATTTTCATGTCCTTCAACAAGCTCCCATTGGAAAAACTCTAGTGTCTCACGTAAAACATTCTAGAATATTTCCAACATTTTATTAAAAATACCTTTGTGATATAACTTTCTATATGAAACTTTCTGTAGCTAATCATATATCAATTTCACAGGTCAGATACTTTCAGGAATTGTACAATCATCCAATTCTTTATTACTTGGGTCCATTTCTGCATTTTTTTCCAAGCAACTCTACTGCCGAGTCATATGAAAGCCAAACTACATTACATTTCCTCCCATCTCTTTCATAATCATATGTAACTATATACTAGTACACAAAAGACCCTCAATATATGCTACACAGAGTGATGAAAAAATGTTAAACTTTGCACCTGCCTCACAAGCTCAAGGTCCTAAGTTTGATCACTGGTACCAGGATAAAAAAATGTTAAAATTTTACATTTTGGAATACAAAATATAGTTCTCTTATCTTTCCCCTAAACATTCTTAAGCATATAAAAACTATTAAGTACTTACTTATCTTCTTTGTTTTGAAAAATGTCCAAAAATATTTGTTTTCAGTATTTGTTGCAAAATATTCAAATTGTTCTAGTGATTATTGAAGTACACATTTAGAAGAAAGTTCATATTTTGGTATTCTATATGCTTTTTCAATATTTAATACTTTATAAATTAATCAGTTTTTACTTGTATCTTTTTCTTTAATCATTTTGAACTATCCTGTGGGGATTAGTATTAAGCACTTTTTGTAGCATGGAAAGAGGGAGTCTTGATGCATGCGGGTGCTAGTTGTAGTGTCACGATATATATCAAATATTCCTATTTTTGAGTTTACTGATATTTTTGTTACAAAATGCAAATATGTACACACACACACACACACACACACACACACACACACTTTAGAAGCCTTTATTATGGAATCAGTAGTTTGGTGATCCAGGCAATAGTGGATAAGAATTAACATCTGCTTCTGTTCTCAAGAAGCTTATAGTTTATGCACGGAAATAGGCACAGAAGCATATAATGTAATATGATGAATGATTAGGGTAACTAAAGGAGAGGGAATTACCTTGAATTCAGAAAAGGATACCTGCAGGAGACAAAGTACTAGCTAGCATGAGAATTAGACAAAGACTCTGGTGAAGAACATTACACACCGAGGAAAGACTGGAATAGCAGGGCGCTTGTTGAGGCACTACACACAGTGCAGTAGTTTTTAAGCATACAATGTGACACTTTCAAAAGGAAATGTGAAGAGATGGAGCAAAAAAGCTCAGGACTGGGTACTGGAAGAACTGAAAAGAATAGATTTGAGAATTAAGATATAAAAACAACATGGCTCACTGAAGACAGAAAGAGGGAAGAAGAGGGAGAAGGCATGATTTGTAAAGACTCTCATATGTCAGTGTAGGTAACCAGCACAGACTTGGGTGGAAAGTGGAAGGCAGGGAGGGGCTGGTTTCAAGGCATACTGAATACGTGGTTCTGTGGATTACCAAAATGGACATCCTAAAGGTGGATAATTGGTGGCTTTAAAACATCAGACCTGAAGATGGAGAGTGACGTAAACTAGCCAGCACTCTTTAAACACAAACAAACTCAAGCAGATAAGAAGAAGCTGAACACTATGGCTACAAACCAATTTGCATGGTTAGGATTATTAAAATTATTGCTGCTTTTCTTCATAAAGGAGTAATGGGAGAGAAGTGAAGTAAAGCAAAGTTCCAAACTGCTAGCAATTAAAAAGTGTGGAGGTGATTTAAAGAATCTGTGTCAGAAAGTTTGCCACTTTCAATACTATTTGGCTAAAATAATTTTCATTTTATGGTACTATAGTACTTTTCAATTGTATATGCTTTATTTCTGCCTCAAACCCTTTGTTTATGGTAGCCATTTTTTCTTTCCAGTTGAGTGTAAAATACAATGCCACCAAAGAGCACAAGTGTATTGCTTTACAAATTACTTAAAAATATCAAGAAATACCAACTAATGAAAAATATTCCTCTATTACTCGCAAAACTCAATAATCTATAAGTGACATACTAGGTTATTAAATGCTTGGTTTTTTTTTAGATGACATCATCACTATCTTTCCAACCCTGTGAATTTGTAGGGACATTTCTAATAATAACATACAAGTCATACTTAAAAATAAATGTCAAGGCTGGGGATTTAGCTCAGTGGTTCTATCACCTGTCTCACAAGCGTGAGGACCCGAGTTTGATCCCCAGTACCGAAAAAAAAAAAAATGTCAAACTATAGGGGGAACAGATTGGAACCACAGACATCTTAATGTGCAGGCTTATAACTTCTAATTTACAGTTCAAAAATTCACAAACACTAGTGGATAGCTAATTTAATTTGTGGCAAAAGCAGATCTGTACTAACATGAGATTATTTGTAGTCTATTTTTTTCAATGAAATAGAAATATCTATAGTAGTCTCTTCAGCAATATATGTACATAATTATGAAGAGCTTTCAAAATCCTTCTGAAGGAAAGTTTCATAACATGCATTATATGATACATAATAAAAATATGGTGGATATTTAAATAAACATAAACATAAAACTAGTACAGCAAAACACACACTGCCATCATTCCCCCTCAAAATACTCCCTCTCACGTCAAACCTACTTATCTCATCTTTCATGCCTCATTCTATAACAGTTCTGGAAGATCTCTTTCAAGAATGTCTTTTTGTTGCTGTCTCAATGTTCTGAATCAACTCAAAATGTTTAAAGAAATTTGTGTAAAAAACACACACACACATTATTGCATGGTCTCATTCACCTTATTTACTTACTAAGTTTGACACTGTGCAACTTGTGGCTCTTCCCCCAAATTGGAACAACCACGAAAGGCAGACACTGCGCATCAATTCATAACATCAAAGAAATTGCAGTATTGGAACTAAGGGCATTTATGAAGGAGGACTTCCAGGACTGCTTCTGAAAGTGGCAAGCATGATAGGTGTGTTTGAAGTGAGAAGGAATATTTTGAGGAGGATTATTGGAAATGAGACGTTTAAAAATATTTTATTATTATATGATGCTTGTATTCATCTAAGGGAGTAGGTACACGTACTTAACATATTTTGAGTATTTTAATTCCACTGCCCCTTCCTACTCTCCTTTCTCTCTTCTTCTCTATGTCCTCTTCCCCCGTTTTCATTACTATCATTGCTATTCTTACTACTATTCTCAGTTCATGTTTGTGATAGATTGTGAGCAGTGAGTATATGGGAATGTCTCTCTGTAATGTTTAAATTTAAACATTCACTAAATATTTATCACACCTTACATATGCAGAAAATAAAATTCTGAACTTCAGAGCACAATTCAAGTGTTTGGATGACAAATTATATATTAATATAACTAAAAATAAAAAATTAGATTCGCAGTGGCATCATAATCTAGATATTCAGTCTAAATGGGTTTTTAGAATTAAGACTTTTTCATTCTTGTATTTAAGACATTGATGTACACCATATAGTTCTCAATAAAAATATTTCCAGCATTCCCTTTTTTCTACAAATTATCTTCTCCTGTCACTTCATTTTTACAACATCCTTATAAAATAGTTAACCTTTTATGAAAGGGGTAAATATTTTTAAAAGCTCCCATTACTTTAGAACCATTTTTATAGAGTTAGGATTGAGAATAAAACCATTAGTTTTGAAAAAAAATAAAGAAAAACAAACGCAGGAAGGATGCATGCAGGGTCTTACATGTAAAATCAAATTGTCAATTTTCATAAAACTTAGAACATACTATGACATTTATTTAATTAAAAACATCAGTTGACAGCTCATCTAGTACATACTGAATGTATTTCCCACTGGGTTTAGAATTTTATCAAATTCTACTATATAGTTTTCAAAATCACTGAAAAGGTATGTGCTACAAGACAACTTCACAGAATAAAGTGAATTCTTTAATATTTGCTCTATTTTGTCTTTTAAACCAAAGGATAAGATTGCATTTTTTAAAAAATTATAATTTTTTGGAGATGACTATTAAAAATCTCATTAATATTCTATGACTTTTCTTATATCTAAAAGAAACATAACTATGGAATTGTTCTGTAAGTAGATCTTTAATAATAACTATATGCAAATAAGGTGGCAAACATCGAAGTTTTATAAAAGATAAAGAAAAATGTATTTAAAAATAACTAACCTAACAACAGTGTATTTATGAGAATAACATTGAACTGCTTTTGCTCAATTTCCAAAATGTCTTTAAATTTTAAAAAATTGAAGTTTTGTTTGTAGTGATGCTAGGAATAAGATCAGAGCCTTATGTGTGATTGGTAAGTGCATTACCATTGTTCTTTATCTCCAGATACCTCCCTAGTTGAAGTATCTTTTTAATAAGAAAGGATAACATGTCAATAATTTAAGAATTTTAAAACAGGCATTAAGCATTTTTAAAGAAAGAGAAAACATAATTAGACAGTAGACTTCGAAACTACTGTCATTTCCATAAACAGAACACACAATTGAAAAGTGAAATGTCCTGTGTTTAAAAAGAAAGAAATGTAAAACAATTCCTCACAATCAGAAAAATAAAAACTGATCAACAAATGGTTTCCCACCCTCACAAAAGCATAAAGATGACTTTTTCAAAAAAGAAAACAAATAAGGTTCCATGCTCCACAAACAAGCACATGCACGGACACACACAACACACATGCACTTGCGCACGCACACACACAAGTATACGGTGATTCTGTCTGAAGCAGATCTAATATAAATCACTTCTCTATTCTTAAGTTTTTCTTACCCAAACATGTGTACCTAACACATTATGTGGAAAAGAAATGATGGAAATAAACCATGTTTTATTAAAACCTTACCACATTTTCGATTATAGTAGGAAGGATAAACCCTACCGAAGGCATGCATACCTGTGGCAAGGCTGAATTGAGCTGTCTCTGGAGTGAGTCTCTGTCATAGATGACATCCTGCAGTCTCTGCTGGGCAAGTGACAGGCTTTCCTGGGTCTCCCGAAGGGTGTCTAGAAGACGATCCCTTTCATCCAGCATATTCACCATCAGTTGCTCAAAATGGGAGTCTGAGTCCGAGCCACTGCTTTGGGACCCCCTTTGGCTCATTGGGGTGTCCTCATTAATCGTGGGCATCACTTCACACATCATTGCTTTAAAAAAGTAAAGGGGAAGTCAGTAAAGGAATAGCTTCCAAAAATCCCACCTGGCTATCATCTCACAACTCTTTGCAGCTCATTAGGCTAGTTAGCCCTCTTTCCCCTACCCACGGCCCCATCTTTAACCAAGCTGAAAAGTGTTGAGCTCAGTGAAATAGGACCCTTCCCCTTTCTCCAACTGACTTGCATTCTTTCTCTCCACATGGCAATCCACACTATGTTCCTCCTATCAAGCCCAATTTGGGCTTCACCGGTTTCTCAGTTTGGCTTTTTTTTTTTTAATCTCACTTAATTCACAGAAATATGTTGTTTCGAATTATTATTTCACTACCTTTCTTTGGCTGCAAGTTTGTGACTCTCTCGAAACTACTATCACTATGTTAATTGTTGTTATACTGCCAACAGGAAATATGTGGTCTGTTAAAGGAGTACATAGAACATTTTTGAATGACTTTGACAGTTAAAGCAAATTAATATTCATTCATTTAGAAAATCCACAGAGAGCTGTATATCACATATAGTAAACTACTTTTATCTTCTTCTTTTCTCAACAAACTTTTTCATGCCAACTAAAGTTTTTTTAACATTATAATTTTAAAGTTGTTGAGTGTTACTGACTGAATTAGACAAATTTTATGAAATAAGCTGGGACACATACATTTGTTTTCATTATTCTGCTTCTAATAACACTTGATATTCTTTTGTTTCCTGTTAGATGAATTGTCTGGTTTCTATCTAAACATTGCAAACACTCTTTCAAATATTCCAAAAAGCAGATGTGTTAAATTACATTAGCTAACTTAGGAACTTCACATCTCAGCTGCTATTCACGAGCTTTAAAACGTAAAATACATGAACTGTTCAAAATATTTTTAAAATAATCCATTAATTGGGTTTAAAATCTATATCATGGATACTGAAAGGCAACACTGTACTATTACACAGTATCTTTAAAAAATCAATCTCATTTTCGTTCATCCTCTATTTTATGTTTCTAAAAACTCCAGCTCAACTCAATTTTAGTCGTATACTGCCAGGAGCTATTAATTAGAGGACTTGGGTTTGCAGAAGATGGTGTGGAGAAGGGCTGGCTTGGCTTTTGATCCTGGAATATTCTTTGGTTTTATAAAGCAAGGTCAATTCATTCTTCTGCCTACATATTTATGTCCTTGGGAAAAAATATTCTGGTGATATTTTAAGATAAAATGTCAAGATTCTTCTTGTAAATTGTATTATTGAATAGAGAATTTGATTATTTGTGAAAGATTTATTCAGGCCTCATGGAAAACCAAGAGAAACTTTTAATACAATAAAAAAGAAATTGTTTTGTGACCATTGATCTATATAATTCTAGGATAATGCAAAATGCTTTGAGATTTTACTCATAAGCCAAAATATTGTGCAGGAACTTGACTTGCCAGAATAAGTAAATGGAGTAAATTCACACACACACACAGACACACACACACACACACACACACACACACACACACATGTGCACACATACTACTACTACTAAAATGTTAGCCAAATAGCATTTTCTCTTTTCATCAATTTGATTTTTTTTTTTTTTTTTTGTACCGGGGATTGAACTCCAGTCCTTGTGCTTGCAAGGCAGGCCACCGAACCACTGAGCTAAATCCCCGGCCCATCAATTTGATTTTTATTCAAGGACTCACTTAGATGAAAAAAACCTTCCTTAACCACTACAACTTTTCTTAAGATCAAATGACAAAGAATTGGAAAACAAAAACAAAAATAGTTCCAACACATTTGCTTATTTAAATGATTGGCTCACATGCCATGCATGAAATCCACATATTGAACAGCTGTGCTATTCTAAGAAATCATTACCATTTAGGAGCCAATTTGTGTACTTTTGATATTTAAGGTTAAAACAAAGTACTGGAGCAGGTAGCAATAAGACTGTGACAAGTTGTGCCAAAATGATCTTAAATTTTAAATTTTAAGATTATCTAAACATTCTTAAATCTGTATTTCAAACTGTATTTTTCTTGAAAGCACTTTTAATTACTTACAACAACTTTACATTTCAAGGAGAAGTATAAATGCAGTGATTACCCCAAGAACAATTATCACCAGAGGATGATATCCTAATTCTTTGCAACCTTTTGTGTCCACCATGGGGCATTAGATATTCACAAAGTTTACACTCTTGGACATTAAAAAAGATGGTCCTTGATTCAGTTGGGCAAAACATTCTATGATGAGAACATAGTTGGGGATTTAGAAAGTCCTTGAAATCTACATTCCAAGAAGTTAATTCTATTCCACTTTTGAAATGGGTACGGTAAGTGCTTCATCACCCCAAAGTTCAGTTTTCTCATCCATAAAGTAGGGATAATAATCTATATTTTTGTAAAAATTCCATTTTAAGGTCTCAATTGTGTACCTGACTGAAAATACATTAAAAGATATAAAATATTATCACAAATTCAATTATTTATTTCCATTATTAAGTGTCCAATATTCATCTTTGCAGAAATAATATTGTACCACTCACAACTACTATTGCGTATAGGCCTAAATATTTAATTCTAGTGACTACTGAATTCTCCAAATCCGTTTATATCCAACTAGGCAAAAGTTACTTAGAAAATAAGATGAGTACTTGTCACTTTTTATTCCCAGTCAACTCAAATAAGTAAATAGAATCTTTTCATTTAAAAATTGAAAGAAAAGACTACAAAAATAAGGCCATTTTTATGTTTGCTTCATGTTTGCATTACATCTTAGATATAATATAAACATAAATATATGAATATCCCTTAAAATATAATGTAATAATTATTAAATGCATATTTCAAGTATTGGAAGCAATTAAAAATCCATACAAGCTCTTTCATAGAATGGATGACATCTGAAACAACTTTTGTGGTCTAGAAGCACGTCATCATTCGATGTTTTGCATATTTCATCCAGATATATTACTTTTAATTGTTACAGTCATTTTCAATATTAAAAATCCAAACATATAATTTCACACCAAACTAGAAAAAACATGCAAACAGTTTGCTTGGGAAAATATCTGTTCATCACCACCTCCTTCTCTAAAGTCAATCTGACATGTAAATAATGCTAAACTTATCTAGATATTGGTTGTTCATTAAATCGTTGAAGCTTTTAAGACCTAGTTAGAGACATTATTAATTTGTTGTGAAAGGTAAAGAAATAATAAGCTTAGTAAGTTTAATTATCCAAATGCTTAAATTTAACTTCTCAAATTTTGAACCAGGAAAACCAACTCCCATATTGTTAATAACTTAACCTTGACTATCTTCTAAATCTTGCAGGCTTCCAATAAAAGTTTTGAATGCTCCTTGAGATCACTGCCCAAAGGATTTCATGATTCTTAGCAATACACGTCATATAACATATTCACATATGAGAGCACTCTGAAATGCTTTTTTTTGTCAATGAATTACTATTTAATCATATTACTATAATGTAGAGCTTACTGTAGGCAAAGATACAATTATTCGACACTGAGTTTCTTCTGCAAAGACTGAGTCTTTAGAACCATCCCAACTCCACCTCAGTTAACCTACACGGAGTAATACGACGGGAGAAATCCCAGCCATTGTCTGATTACATTACATGAATATTCCTCATCCTATTAACTCTTTGAAATCTCCTGTCCGCCGGAAATATTATCACTTCTAATGGAAGCGTTTTCACTTTCTTGACTTTACTGCATTTACAGATGGCCAAAGAGCCCGTTCATCCACCCTCCTGGACAGCTCTCTCTCTCTCTCTCTCTCTCTCTCTCTCTCTCTGTCTCTCTCTCTCTCTGCCACACCCCCACCACCACCCTGAAGAAGTTGACTTCATGATTTCCACACTAAAATTGTTCATCCAGCCAAGCAGCAGAGAGACAAGGAGCATAAGGCACAGAAACAGGAGATGGAGAAGGCGAGTGGAAAGCCAAAGGTACCTAACTGTCGTCCACAAGGAGGAATCTGCGTCTCGTCTTCCCTGGGGGCGGGGTGGGGCCGGGGGAGGTAGTAAAAAATAAAGCAGAAGGGAACCCGTGTAACTTAAGCAGTTTCTGTACCTAATGTCTGTAATTTCGGTCCTGCCTCTTCAGTGGATCAGTGACAACCGCAGTCTCTGTCTCGAGGAGAGGGGCGGCTCACACCCCGCACTCCTGGACCATGTCCCTAGCAGGTGGAGGGGAAAGGCCGCTCAGACGCCCGCGGATCCCCGCGCTCCCCCAGAACGTGCCCCGGCTCCAGCCTGTGACCGCAACTCCGCATCTTCCCGCGGCTCCGTCAGCAGCCAAAAGGAGAAGCGTCCATCGGAAAAATGGCATATTACAAATTTTGCTTTGGGAAGCAGAGCTCGGTTCAGACCATTGTGGGTCCGGGGTCCGCTCCTGGAAACTTAACGGCGCCGCGCGGCTGCTCCCACTCGGCGCCCCGGTCACGCGGGGTGTGAGAAAGTGTCCCTCCAAGCGGGAACTTCGGGGAGAGCCCTTAGGAGTCCGCGGAAGTTCTCCACCCCGCTCTCCACCCGAGCCGCGCCAGAGTTTGGGGCTGAGGCTGGGAGTTTGACAGTTAAAGGGGGGGTCCGCTCCTGGAAACTTAACGGCGCCGCGCGGCTGCTCCCACTCGGCGCCCCGGTCACGCGGGGTGTGAGAAAGTGTCCCTCCAAGCGGGAACTTCGGGGAGAGCCCTTAGGAGTCCGCGGAAGTTCTCCACCCCGCTCTCCACCCGAGCCGCGCCAGAGTTTGGGGCTGAGGCTGGGAGTTTGACAGTTAAAGGGGAGCGAGCCGGGAGCAGCAGGACGGATCCCCTCCGGGCACCCAGCTGACTCTCGCCCCAGGGTGCTTCGATTCACTCGGGCCAGGTGCTCCTGCTCTGGGAAGGGTAGCGAGGCACCGCGCCCCAACACAGACCCCCATTCTGTCCTTGCGGCCCCCTCGAGCCTCCCGCCTGCTCGCCTCGGTCGGCGCCGCAGAACCAACCTACGGAGAGCCTGCGAGGAGGCTACAGCATCTTCTCTCTCCACTTGCCTGGTGCGCGCTGCTGCTCCTCCTTCTCTGTCTCCTCCCCTCCTCCTCCTTGGCAGCCGCCTCCTCTTCCTCTGGAACAAGGGCTTCCCCTGGAAGCTGCTGCAGTGGTTTCCACCGGCCCTTAAATAAATTCTGAAGTAATCACGTCTCTGCTCTCCTCCTCACGCACACGCGCTCGCGGAGACACTCGTCTCCCAAGCAGCTCCCAGCTGCTGGGGCTCGCGATGGCACAGGGTCCTCCGAGCTGGCTAGGACCAGGGATGGCAGAGAGGAGAAGAGGATACGCCGTCGCCCACCTGCGCTTTCCCTCACACAATGGTGTCTATAGGAAAGCTTGCGTGGGCACGCGCTGTTGGGGTGGGAACTCACTTGGGCACCTTCTGGCTCCCTGGCTTCTGCTTGTCATGGCTTTAAGCTGCTTTCTCTGGCTGGAACGGGGCACGGTAGTCTTAGTTATGGGACCTGAGTCAATCTAGGGTGTGGCGGCATCTGTCACTTCTGGTCACACTTCTTTTCCATTCATTGGTTTGCTGATGAGGACTATGTATTGAAATACTTCCTGCTGAGTCCATTTCAGCTTTGAACAGAATCTGGTCTTGACCATGCTCTATTTCTCCTTAATGTTTTCTCAGATTCCCTCTCTCCTCTCTCCTGCTGCCCCTCTCTCCTCCCCTTCTGCCTCTCTCCTCTGGAACAAGGGCTGTCTCCCTCTCTCCTGCCTCTGCTGTCCACTCCTATAGACTATCAGAGGAAGAAAAAAAAGAAAGAGAGAGAGAGAGAGAGAGAGAGAGAAAGGAAAGAATCAGGAGACAAAACCAGTACCTACTGAAGGAAATGACTCAGGTAAGGAGGTTCATTTATCCAAGATTTGGTGAAAAAGAAGAGGTCACACAAAAAGGAATTAGGAACAAGAATTAATCATTCAATATAATTTTTGGGTGAGTGCAAATATCTTCAGAGTGTACAAGAAACCCATAAGGCATGGTTTTCTTTTTTGTAACGCAGAGTCCAAAGTTAACCAAGAAATAGTACTCAAAGATTACTCAAATACTGCCAACTTAAATTAACTATGATATTCAAGAATAGTCTCCTTCTGGATGTAGCATTTAATTTAGCTAATGATTCTACACTGGTTGATGATGTCAAGATTCTGATTTTGCTCCCTTCCAGACTGTTATTCAAATTTTAAACCACAACCAAAAATTAATTTTAAATATATTAAGTAAAAACATATGAGGATTTCCTAGCAGTCAAATAGAACACGATTTTTCAAACATACTGTGCATATTGATCACCTATGAATCTTGTCATCATGTAGATTCTGATTCACTAAAATGGAAGTTGGCCCTGAGACTGTTTCTCACAACTTCTAGATTGTATCCCATCTTAGCAAGGGTCTAGAACATCCAATCAATTTACCACTTGCCGTAGCTTAAACAACTATAATCATAGGACACTCCTACTATAAAGCAGCCCAACCTATTTTCAGACAAATAGAATATTGTAATTGCCTCATTATATTAATCAGATATCAACAATCATAACTTTCACTCTCTGGAATTGCACAGAAGACTTGAAATATCTCATATATGTGAAACTTTCATATTTTAAATGTTGCTATTATATCTATCTGTATAATAACTAGTTCCTTATTGAATTCAATTTTTATTTCCTTACCAATAAACATTTTGAAACCCAGGCTCACAAGTTAACATTTCCAAGTGCTCATTAGCCTGGATCCCATTCATGTATCAAATAAAAGTTAAATTGTAAGTATAATCTCCATATTCACTTGACATAAAAAATAAAATATTACCTATAGTTGATATGACAGAAAAATTTGATAATGAAAGGCAAGAAATAACCACAGAGAAATGAATAAGAAGGTAACAGTCTTCATGCTCACTCTTAATTTAGAAACAACTACATTCTCATCCCTAACACCATTGCAAACTGTGTAAGTAAGCTTTTCTTTCAGAACTACAAAAGGTATTTGAAAAAAGGAATGTTATAGTAGGCATTGGATGAAGGAATTTATATGAGAAAATAAGTAATCATCTATACCAGCTTCTCTAGTTTATGGCCCTCAAATATAATATATAAGAGAATAGCTCATCACAACACAAATTGTTCAATCCCATTCCCAGAATAACTGATTCACTAGGTGTATGGTACAGTTTCAATTATTTAAATTTTAGTAAGTTTGCTAATATTGTTGGTCAACATCCCACTTTGACAACTATTATTTAGATAAACCTTGAGAAATTTGGGAAGAAAAGTAGAAGAGCAAGAAAAGAGCTACTAGTGTTTCATGTTCAAAGCAAAAGATATTTTATACAAATATAACACATTCTTAATGCTATGGTTTCATCTACTCTGACTACTTTTAATGACCAACCCATCAATGTTTAAGATGAAATATGCTTGCTGCCCATATAGTCAACTAGATTTAGTCAAAGGTAGCAGAAGCTGCCTCTTCCATTAGTAGTCTCAAGGTCTAACATCAATAAAAGTATTTAGTCTTCAGGAGGCATATTACAGTGGCATACCTAGCAGCTTGTGTTCTGCACACTTTATTTCACTTATGACCTATTCATTTATATTTTATTTTAAATGAAGTGTATCATGCAATACTCTTAGAGATCAGTATTTTTCTAACTCTACATATTCTGAATATCACATGCAATGTAACTAATATTGAATAATATATAGTAAAGAATTTATTTTTATTTAAATAAAGGTGGATTTTTATAAAGATATAATTAAGATTACATACCAAACAATATTAGTAATTCAGCATTGGCCATGAGAATAACAAAGCTTTATTTAGTAAGTGACAGCAATTAGTTATTTACTCATTTTCATGCAAATACAATGTAAGTGATAAGAGCAGACATGTTCATCACAATATCACCTCATTGTAAATATATAGCTACACATTTTCAAAACTATTTACCTATATTGAAAATACCTTACATTGACACTATAAAAAACAATGAACTGATATTTTTTATATCTATATTGACTGTTGAATATAAATTTTAAGGTGGGTGTATATGTAGGAATAAAAGTAATTAACATCATATATTGTACCAATAGTTTTACAGGAAGATAAATTTTACTATGGTTCTGATTTAAGAGTCATGAAATATTAGACTGAGTTACTTATAGTAATCATTTTTCTAATTTCTCCAAAATATATAACAGGTCAAATCAAACTGAAGTTAATTGCTCACTTTCTCCATATTCCAAGGTAAGAATCAGTCAGCTTACTGAAGAATTGGTCAATTTTCTTCCACATACTATTCCAAGGTCCTTTCTGGTCTGTACCCTGCCATCTCCTGAGATTTCACAGATAGACAGTGAGTGAGGAAAAGTGGAATAAGTACATCCACTTGCTAAGAAAACTTGGTCGTGCATGACACATTTTTCTTCTCACATTCCACTAGTGAGAACAACATCTAATTATAAGGGGAAAAAATAACCGAGATATGTCATGAAAAGGTACAAGATACCAATGATGAATGTAACTGTATTGTGTATCTAAAATATAACAATAAAAATTCAGTTTATAAAAAAATCTAATTATAAGAAAGGCTGGGACAATGTGGGAGCTAGGCAGCTTCCACACCCCCCAGCACCCTGGACCTTCATCAGAGCAGACCAGTGAGAACTGCCCAGCCACACAGGTGCCCCTGCAGCATCACTACCTCATCCCCGTGCTCCCAGACCTCTTCATTGAGTTGGTACCTGGATCCATACTGGATCCATACTGCAGAGGCACAGATGGTCATAAAGGCCATTGTCCTGAGCTCCAAAAGATAGAACGGAAGTGAACAACTGCAATAAAGGCACACCAGACGTCTGCAGTTGGTAAATTGAAGGGATCACCACCTTCCATCAGAACCAGGACTAAGGGGAAGGGCAGCTGGGACCTGCCGTAGAACCTTGCAGAGTTTAACCCTGCAGGAGGTCAGAGAGCTCAATTTGGGCTTTGCAGCCAGAAATCAGCCTGAATCTCAGGGGTGTGACTTTGGCTTGCTGAGATTAATTGATGAAGTTCTGCACACTGCTGTCCACATTGTCTATTGTAACAGCAGCGATAAACCCTGAAGGAGGCCCCTCAAATGTTTTTCTTTCTTTTCCTATTTTTCTTCTTTCATTTTTATTTTTTAAAATTTATTTTTTGCCACTCTTCAAATTCTTCCTTTTTTCTTTATTCTTTTTTCCCACTCAATCTCTTGCTCTCCCACATTGTTCATTTCCACTTTTGTTCTTATTCCTGCTGTAGTTCAGATTTCTTTCTTCTTTTTTTTCTGTCATTTTTCCTTCTCTTGATTGTCATTACTTTCAAATGAAAGTAAGTACAGTTTATAGCTTCCCTATTACTGTTAAGTTGTTCTATTCTTGTCATTGTTCTTACACTCTGTCTTTCCCTCTTGTCTTTAACAGTTTCCTAGAGTCTGCATGATGATTGTGTGTCCTCTGGCTTCACTTGAAAACTTCTCCTATCCTTCTACCTATGTATACCTCTCCTCCCAACTCTTTTTAAGTCCCATCCCAAAGGGTAAAGTTGCTGTACTGAAGAGTTTATTCACTATAAACATATTTTGGGTTGGTCCTTGATTTTTATTTAATTCACATGGAAAAAGTTGATAGATTAATAACTACCACAAAGTATCAATTTCTAAGCTGTTCTTGATGTTATTGTGTTGCTGATTATATCAACTGAGCTAAAGGGTTGTGATTTAATCAGTTGTCCTTCTGAAACAGTCTCTGAGTCATTAGAGACTCAAAACCTAAGGAGCAGCTATATCAGGAAGATCAAAGTACTAAACCAGGAATTAAAACAAGAACAGTACCAACAACAAAAATAAAAATGAGAAAACATTTAAGTTATAAATATAGACTTCTGGCGCACCAACAGCAAATTCTAGGGGGAAACGAGGTGGAAAAGTCTGACAATCAATCACCAGGACACACTAAACTCATAGCACAGGAAGTAACAAAACAGATCAATTGGGCTCTAGAAAAATTCAAAATGGAAATAATTTCCCAGATAACTATAGAGATGGTGAGCACAGTGAAAGACATGATTACAGACTCTAGAACATAAACAGACAAAAAAAAAATGAGTTTAGGACCATGATAGAAGTCATGAATGTCCAGCATAGGAAATAAATGGAAAGCATAAGTGTCCAACATAAAAAAGAAATGGCATCCATGAAATACATTCAAACAGATAAAGAGATTAAAAATTATAGAAAACATTCACAGCAGAATGAACAAATGTGAACATAGAATTTCAGACATAGAAGATAGGATTGTGG